CTGGCCAAACTGCTTCTCCATCTCATGCTGCTCTTTTCTACCAATTAACACCCGAAGGCAACGCACTCTGCCAGGAAGCCACCTACCCAATAGCATCCAGCTTTCTCCTCCGTGGGCTGGTAAGGCTGTCACTGTCTCATGCTGGGTCTCTTGGCTCTGCTCCTGCCATCTCTCATGCCGCATGTTGGGGTCTCTCTGCCAGGGTCTCAGGTCAAGGTCACACTCCACCCCTGTTTCCACATTTTAGGTATCTGCCAGAGCAGCACACCATTCTCTTGGTATCATATTCTGTTCTGGTTATCTAGTGCTGCGCTGACAGGAATATACCACAAATGGGATGCTTGAACAAACCGGAGTTTATTCTCTTATAGTTTGGAGGCTTTAAGTCCAAGTTCAGAGTGCCAGGCTGTGTGAAAGCCCCTTGACTTGGGCTTCAGCTCTGCCTCTTGCTCGCAGCCCACTGAAGCTAGAGGCATCTCTTCACTCAGGCAGCTATTGGCTGCTGACGTTAACAAGCCCAAGGTCGACAAATAAAATGGCACAGTCCTGATGTTATATCAAACCACATGGCAGGTCTTAATTCAAGTCCATTGAAAGTCCCAAGGTTGGAAAAGCATGACAGGCTGCTGAACAGTGACTTGGCTACATGCAGGGTTCAAGCATGCCATAAGCTAGAGACCATTCCCAAAGCTGCTTCTTCCGTAAGGAAGCAGGCCACAGCCCTAAATTTAGCAACTACTCAGCTGCTTGTGGTAGGTCCCACCATGGAGTTGATTGGCAGTCTCCTCATGGGAATAACTACCACCAGCTGCCCAGCCACTCAACCAGGCCCAGCCAAGTTTATACACAACCTTAACTACAGCAAGGATCAAACACAAAAGCAAATCCCTCTCAGCAAGCTGATGATCACTGCTAAGGTATGAAGTTTGTTTGAGAAGCAGGACCAGACAACAATACAGTGTTTGCACAACATTCAAATCACATAACATCCTATTTTGCAGAACGTATCCTTCTGTAGTGATGCCGCCTCAGAAACCCAAGGAGGGGTCATTATGAGTCAAGTTTGACTCAAGGGCAGTGAGTTTGATCATGAATGTTAAGTGACGCGTGACGGTATATATGTATGTATGTTTATATATATATATGTATACACACATATCTACATATATATTATATAAATATATACATTTGCACACAGGTGTGCGTGCACACACCTGCATACACACACTGTACAGAATTAATACAGTTTTTCTATTAAAAAAAAGCATCTTAGAGTGTTCATCTGATATTTACTAAAAACCCTACCTCACACAGCAAGACAGGATTAGCAGAATGGAAGCATTGGAATGTGGTCCATCCACCTCTCTTAAGGCAACAATTGATGCACACAGCTTTACTGGACTAAGTGGACACGAATATAGTTAACAAGCAACTTCTCCAACAGCTTCTGTAGGATGGTCCGAAGTGGGACAACCACACACACAGTGAGAACTTTGAAAGGACCTATTAAATCCTACAACTTCAAATGGTATGAGGTGCCTGAGGCCTGAGGGGGAATCAGCAGTAGATAGACCTGTCTGGCAAGAGGCTGTCAGGACTAGAGAAGCTTCACTTAAGCCGAGACGTTGGTATAAGTGATGGTAAGAGACAGCGCATTGCAGATCGTGTCATCCTCTGAGGTCTTTGCAACTGTGGAAGGACAACTCATCACGTCCTTCAGAACCCACACTGGAACCGGGGGCATCTGTGCCTAGCTTCAAAGGCTTTGGGGTTGAAAATACACTTTCTAAAGCCCTTTCCACCTTAATATTCTTCTGTTTTGTGATCTATAAAAATCTCTATTTTCAAAATGGTATGAGGGATTTCTGTGCAAGAATGGCTGAAATGATGCATATAGTATCTCCTCCACATTCCTTTTCAGATTCACCGTTGCTGCCGCTGTTAGCTGCTGTCAAGTTAATCCTGACGCATAGCATCCCCATGTGTGCACAGTCAAACAACTCAATGGTGTTTTCAAGGCTGTGACCTTATAGAAGCAGATTGACAGGCCTGTCTTTCCAGTCTCCTATGGTGAGTTCAAACCACCAACTTTTGGCTAGCATTTGAGTGCTTAAACATTTGTGCCACCTAGGGACTCCTATGTGATATGTCTTTTCCTTTTAATTCTGTATCTTACGTAACTTTCTCAATTTTAGTGAAGCAAAAGGAAGATGAAAGTACTTACGGTAAAATAAATTCCAAATAGACATATACCTTTATTTCACCTATAACAAAGCCACCACAGTGATTCCTTGTGTTACAGGTAGAACTGCTTCACAGGCTGTAACATTTATGGAAACAGATCACCAGGCCTTTCTCCTGTGGTGCTGCTGACAGGACTCAAACCACCAACCTTTAGGTCAGTTGTTGCATGTTGTCCAGGAGATTCTGACTCACGGTGACCCTAAATGACAGAGTAGTTGAGTGTAAAGCATTTGCACCACCCAAGGACCTTTCCGTAAGATTACAACCATTTTACAACCAAGATTACAATGATAGGCTTCAAAATATTTACATACTCTAAGTTCACATGTCAATTTGTAGCTATGATAATGGTATATGCTTATTAAAAATGTCCATAATCCTATAGTAAGTGGCTTTTATCCTATAAAGGAAAAAGATGATGATGGTGATTTTGTTAGGGAATAATTATCCATTAAGTAAATTTAAGGGAAGTGTGAGAAATTTCACCAACACTAACACAGAGGCACCAATTTGTCTTCTATGCTTATTTACAAAGTTATTCAATGGGGGCGATAATCTTGCACTTTGTCTACCCAACACAGTGTCTAGACTTCTGTTGTTCAACACAGTAGTCACTAGACACAAGAGGCTATTTAAACTCAAATTGAACTTAATTAAGTAAAATAAAAAATTCAGCAATTAAGTCACACCAGCTACATTTTAAGTATGCAATAGGCACAATTGGACAGTACAGATCTAGAATCTTTCATCATGCCAGAGAGTTGTATTAGACAGTGCTGGACATTGTTTGGTATATAAAGTTGAATCCCAAGAACATGTTAATCAAATGAAGCACTATTCACATTCAGTGCAATAAACTAAAACAAACAGACCCAAACTCACTGCCATGAAGTGGATTCCTACTTAGAGTGAACCCCATTGGATTTCCAAGGCTGTAAATCTTTACCGAAGTAGATTGCCCCATCTTCCTTTCACAGAGTGGCTGCTGGGTTTGAACTGCTGACCTTCTGGTTAGCAGCCAATGCCTTATTCACTATGCCACCAGAGCTCCTTATTCAATGTGTGGTAAATGGAGGCATCACTGAGGCCACCGAGAAAGTTCTGATTAAATAAATAAACTGATTGCTGAGAACTAGTCTCTAAGAGAAAGTTTATAAGGGTCTAAGACAGCACTTATTTTAGACCCAGCAAGAAAGTCCCTAAGCTGCCATAAATTCTAGATGGCTGCACCCTGGCTCTCCTCCACACCAGGTGAAAAGTCTCTAGGGCCAAAGGTATGTGTTCATCCAAGGTCTATGCCACTTCCTGCTTTCAGACCACGTGCAAGGTGCCCAAGCAAACCAGTCGCCACGGAGTGGACCCTGACTCGTGGAGACCCTATTGTTTCAGAGTACAACTGAACTCCACGGGGTTTGCAATGGGTGATCTTTTAGAAGCAGGTTGCCTGGGCTTTTTTCAGAAGCTCTTCTAGGAAGACTGAATTTGTCAACTTTTAGTTAGTAGGCAAGAGTTTAATCATTCACGTCACTCAAGGACTTCTCTGAGGTGCTCAGCCAAACCAGAACCCATTGCTGTAGAGTTAATTGAGACTCATAACAACCCTAAAGGAAAGTAGAAGTGCCCATAGAGTTTCCAAGGCTGTAAATCTTTATGAAATTCCCTGAGTGTTCCCAAGACTATTTCCTGGCCCTGAACAGGCCTTTTCTCAAAATCAGTCACACGCATGGTGTGTGGATACTGAGGTCTGGGAGACGGCCAAGGGCTGGATGTTGCGCAGTGTGGACTGGTCAGGGTGTCCACACATGGCCTCTTTTATTCCTTGATGAACCTAGCCCAGGAAGCAAAGGCCTGGGCCCTGGTCTGACCCTCTCCTCCCTGAGATATTTTCTGGGTGGAATGGAACTCCAAGGTATCTGAAAATTCTGTCTATAAACTTGGACTTCTAGGTTGTTATTAAGGTAAACTTCTCACTGTAGGGGAAGAGAAGTGATTTGTTAGCGTGATATGATACTCAGACATTTCAACACGTGGTATGTGAGCTCTGGACTTGCAAATGTTAGGTCATTCATTGTAGGTATCATAGCTGGAGGAGATGAAGGCCGGAAACATTTTCCAAGGTCCACTTTCCCGTAAAGGAACCGGTTTCTTAGTTTTAATGTATTTGGAACAAATGAGACTTCTGTGTGCGAGGAGAAGGCTTGATAAATTCCGTCGGGGTAGTGAGGTGGGAAGAATGCCAGTAGGTGTAGGGGTGGAAAGGCAATTTTTCGTTTTGGGCACTTCTCCCTCGAGTTGTTTGTCAAGGATATTGAGTCCTGCAGCTTTCCCTCACTCCATCCCTGGGGCGGCCCCCAGGGCCTTAGGGCGGCTTTGTCTGCAGGGCGGCAGGGGACGGAGTGCGGGAGAGCAGCCACCGCGGCTGGAGTTTGGACTAGAACTTTCTTCCGCCTCCTCCACGAGTTACCGCGCTCCCGCAGGCCTCACGCTCCTACCCAGAGGCCGAGTTCCGGGAGCGGACGGGGTCGGGGTCGGGGTCGTGGTCGTGCCCCCGGCGGACGGCGACGCAGGTCCTGGGAGCGCGCGCCTCCTTCCCGGAGGGGAGAGGCGAGGAGCAGCGGGAGGAGGAGGCGAAGGAGGGGCTGGGGCGGGGGCGTCCGGCCGCAGCGGTCGGGGAGGAGCCGCCGCGGGCCGTGGTCCGGAGAGGAGGCGGCGGAGGAGGCGGTGCTCCTGACTGTCCGTAGACAGGCGCTGGGATCCGCGCGGCCGTGACCCCACTGCTCCCCAGAGGCCGACCGCGGCGGCCGCGGACAAAAGAGCATGCCGGCGCCGAGGAAGGCCCGTCTTCCAGCCGCCATGAGGCTCCAGGCGCCGCCAGGCCCACGCCTTGTCCCCGCCCGCCCGGGCGCAAGAGCCGCCCGCTAGGCCCGCGCGCCGCAGATCTACCCGCAGGCCCGGCCCGCCGCCCGGCCCGCAACATGGAGCCGTTCGGGCGCTGGCGGTGCCGCGCGCTGCTGCCGCCGCGGCTGCTGCTGCTGCTGCTGCTCGCGTTGCTGGGAGTCGGCGGCTGTGCCGCGGCGCTGCCCCCCGGCTGCAAGCAAGACGGGCGGCCCCGAGGGGCCGGCAGGGTTCCAGGCGCAACCGAAGGGAAGGTGGTGTGCAGCAGCCTGGAGCTTGCGCAGGTCCTGCCCCCGGACACGCTGCCCAACCGCACGGTCACCCTGTGAGTAGCCCGGGGGTGCACCCCTGCGCCCGCTCCTTTCGCTCCCGGCTCCTTCTCTGGTGTCTGCTGCTCTCCACGCAAGTTTGGAGAGGGGTCCTGCCGGCATCCACGCGCCTTTGTGTGACGAGCTGCCGGCTGGGTAGGGGGTCGTGCTGAGTATGGAAGCCTCCAGTTGGTGTGGCATGAGTGAAGGTCTAGGTAGTGGTGGTGGTAGAGGCGGCAGCAAATATCACTGTCCCAGAGCTGCCTTCCAGCTTCGCTAAGTTTGCTAAGTAAAAGTTTTCGGGCTCCCAGGCGCGCCCTGCGCAATCCGGGACGCTGCGCTTCTGTCGCCGCGCGGTGCCACGTGAGGAAGCGAGTAAACAAGTAGTGGGCCGAGTTAAAGCTCATTCATCTCGGACGTGAGCGCCGGGAAAACTCAGTGCTGTATTAGAAGCGGCTGGTCCTTCAGCGTCTGTGCAAATGAATTTGCACTTCTGTTGGTAGAGTTCTTAGAGTATCAAAACATGAGGACTTTGAGTGCTCCTGTGTGAGATCGCGAAGACCCGAAAACGACTCCCTTGGCTTTTGCTCTCGTAAAGAGCTCTGGTACCACAGTAGTTGAAGCATTTGGCTGCTAACCGAAAGGTCGGCAGTTCGAGCCCATCAGCCGCTCCGTGGAAGAAAGATGAGGTAGTCTGCTTCCATAAACATTTACAACTTTGGGAAGCCTATGAGGCAGTTAAACTCTATCCTGTAGGGTCGCTCTGAGTAGGGATGTACTCCACGGCAGTGGGTTCGGTTGTTGCTCTCTGCTTTATTACAGTTAAGGCGTACCTGTTAACATAAAGTTGCTATCAAGGATGAGACATATATTTGAGATGAAGGCGAACACTTTGCATCCTGTTACATGGACTTCAGAATTGAGAACTGGGTTTGTTGAGACATCCACTCACCTCTAGAGACTTGTGATTTACGGATTGAGTTTCAACCTGGAAAGAAAAGTTTGGTCTGTCATTCACGTTGTGAGAGAGGTTCGATTCGCGCCGTCTAGTTTTGCAAGTGTAGCTTTGCTCATTCTAGCTGAACACTTGGCCCCAGTGTCTTTTGATTTTATATTTGGAACGATAAATTGGTTTGGAAACGTTTAAGCCTAAGTGTTTCTAGTGGCTGTTTTGCCAAGTGAAATATGAGTCCCTTGGCTCCGTGTTCCTCCATGTTGTTTTGGTTGGTTTCCTAAAAAAGAATCAAGGCTACCACTATAAAAACACGAAGGCTAGGGCATCAACGTGACCTATGAAAAGACTTAAAATACAGCTTTTAACACACCTTAAGCAAGAGGATATGCGGGTGAGCGTCCAAGATGGGTGTCAATGCCACTATTCACCTTTGTGCATTCTTCATTTCAATCAAATATTTAGCATAGCACTACTGCTTTTCTGTCTACTTAGGGAGGCAGGAAGATGGGTAAGACAAAACTTTGCTTTACTTGTTTCCTTTACCAACACAACACGTTACCTTTTGGAGAGGGTTGTAGTTTTGTGTGCTTTTTTTGTGTTTTGGCCCAGTCTTTTGAAGTGGTTGGAGATGCCCCTTGTTACTCTGCAGAGCTTAGCCCACAGCTAAGCAGTGCTGCTGCAGACATTTGGGTTCTGGATCAGTGGCACTTGAGTTATGTTTAGGTCTAGTTTTTCTGAAATGTCAGCAATTCCAGCTGGATTAGATCAACTACTTGGAAATATTTGATGTTGCTTTGCAGAAAAAAAAGTAAATGGTATTTTAGATGATCACTTCTCGGTAGACTATGAGTTAAAAATATTTTATGGAATTTTTCATGAGCTGATTGGCCAAAATATAAACCAAGTTGACATTGAGTGGACTCCGAGTCACCATGACCTCGCTGTGTGTGTCAGAGCAGAACTGTGCTCCATGGGGTTTCCAGTGGCTGATTTTCACAAGGAGGTCACCAGGCCTTTCTTCTGAGGCACTACTGTGTGGACTCGAACCTCCAACCTTTCAGTTAGCAGATGAGTGTATAAATGTTAATCATTTTAATCCATTTCTTTGTGCACTTGGAAGCTCTTAAGCTGGAAATAAAATTAGTAAAACGAGTGGGAAGAAATTGCTATTTAAAGATCAAATAAAGTGGATGAAGTTAGTTGAGGTCTAGAGAGTCTTGGTGGCCAGCTCTGTCACTTTACTAGTGCAGGAACCGGAGGCTCACTACGGGCGAGTGACTTGCTCGCGTCTGCATGGTGCATTAGCCGTGTGGTCTGCCTCCCAGACTCCCGCTCTGCACCATGTTTTCTCATCTGATCCCCCACCTTCGTCTTACCTTTAAGTTAAGCACATCCTTTGCTTAGTGATTCCTCAGTAAAGGTAGCATTTTGAAATTTGGAATATAGGCAAAAATGTGGTTCTTCTTACAGGTGTTTGGGGAAAAAATTCATGAATTGAAGTCTTAGAACACCCTTATGATAGTGCAGTAGCAAAAGGAACCCATGGGTGGGCACTCGTGGCCAC